GAGAAAATAACAGAATTGCATATAGATTCTCCTCACAAAATATTCATTAATAACAATTATAGTCTTCCATCCATGCTGACTTTTTTGTGATGTGTTTTTCCCTTATTGGAATCACATTTTTAGTGTCCATGTCACTCATGGGCTGCTCTGTATTCAGTATTGGGCCTGGGGATATTGGGGCCGTATCATAAGGCTTGGTTGTTGTTGTTGATTAATTCATTTTCTACAAATAACATTGTCTTTTAACTATAGAATTTTAACATTGAATTCATTTTTTTTCCTTTTATCATCAAAATTTACATTTTTACTGATTTTAATGTATAACTTATTTTGATCTATTTGAATGTTTATGTTTGTTACTGACAGCAACTGTACAACTCGACAACTTTTTTATTTGAATGTTTCATGCATTATTTTAGTATGTTATAACTGAGTTTTAAAATTTAATGATTAATTTTTTTTCCATAACATTGTTTACTTACAATATTCGTCATGAAAATTTATAAAATTTTGAAACTATCAACAATAAAATATTAGTAAAAATATTTACATAGATTAAAAGTATTTGAAAATTAAAATAAAAGGCCAATTTGACTTCCACAACCTAAAAAAATAACTATGTTACGTCATATTTTTTTTTATGATTGGATTTTAAGAAGAGGTAAAACAAAAAAATCTTAAAATATTAAAAGATGAACATAAAAAAAATTATAAAGAATTTTTTAAAACTCACCTAAATGGCAGCGAATAAAATATCTATTAATTCGAATTTATTTTGATCTACTTTGAATGTGTTTCATTAGCATTAATTTTTTCTATTTTAATTTTAATTTTTATAGTTTCAATGAAAAAACTAGTATGGTGGAATCTCTCTCACTACCGTCTAATGTTGAAATATTGTTTGATATTCAAAAGAAAAAGAGAAACGGCTTAAGAACAACAAGTGTGTTGTGTTTCTATTGTGTCTGGGCACATGCATAGAGTCTTCTTTTGTAATGTTTGTAGGTTTAGGTTTCTTTTACAGTAGTTGCAATGCTTTTGTACGGATCTTTGTTCTTTTTGTAAGGGAAAGAATATATAATAATAGAAGAGAGAGGGTAGACCAAGACATGTGGTAAAGAGAAGTGTAGAGTATGGGAAAGTGACAGGTATAGGTTTGAATTATTAACAAATATAATGGGAAATCTGAAAATGTTTTCTTGAACTATTTAATAAATCTAGAAAATAAAATTTCTAAGATATTGTTATGAACAGTTTGATTGATCTATGATTTTTAAATTATTTAATAAATCTAGAAAATAAAATTTCTATTTCATAAAATAATATTTTTGTATTATATAATTTTAAAATTAATTGTGAACATGCAATTCTCGGTCAAAATCTTAATCTTAGTGGACCAAAATTGTGTTGGTTGGTCATACATTCATACTAAATAGCCCTGATTAATCCTCATAAATTATGTTAAATGAATAGTCAAAATATCAAATATTTACTTTTCATGTAGTTTTAAAACACTCACCAAAAACAAAACACTGACTTTTTAGAATCACAAAATGAAAATATTTATTCAATAATTTGTCAATACAATAATTATAATAATATATCCTCTCTGTTTCTTTCTCTTAACCTCTCGCGCTGTCGTACACGCACCGCCGCTCACGTCCGTTCTGCCCTCAAGCCTAGCCTAAACTCCAAAATAAACATGGCCGAAGCACCACCTCCTCCCTTCGATTCACACCCCTCAGTTAATTTCTTTTGAAACCACCCAAACCTAAGGTCATCCCTACTCATCAATTCACAAACCCTAGATAATTAATTCTCTTCCCCTGCTTCAAATGGTTTCTAATTCCCACAGATACAGTCACTTGAGTAGTGGAACACTACTAAAATGCTATGGGGTTATCTACCCCCTTACGCAACAACCTCATACGAACGCTAAACTTGTGTAATCGGAACTTCCTAATGCTGTGTATATGGAATCAATAGAGATAATTTAAGCTATGTAATGAAGCAAAATGACATGCATACGGATGAAAGCGTAAGCAGACTTACCTCTTCGACGATGGATTCAAATTACGGCGACGAACTTCCGCTTCTTCAGGTAATGGCCTCCTTCCTCTTTCGTTCTTCTAGAGCCTGCTTCTTCCCCTTCTCTTGTTCTTCTTTTTATTTTCTTTGAATCCGTGCTTATTGATTGTTGCCGAGCTACGTAGAATTAGGTTTTGTGTCGACTACGCTGATACTCTCGAATTGAGTGGCTTGTGGCTTTGTGATTGAATTTGTTGTGTGAACTCAGAATTGAAATGTGAGACTCAAATTGTTGTGATGAATCTTATGCAGTGAATTGATAGGTTGGTAGAGGTTAGGGTGAAAGATGATTGTGGCAGTAGTTAAATCCGAGGGAAGATCAGGATGATGCTAGGTTGTGAGAGTGAGAATTTGAAGGAGATTCAGGGAGGAACACGGTTGTTGAAGGTTCTGTTAGGGTGGCTGATTGGTGAGAAAAGTGGTGGTCACGGTGGGGATGGAGGAGGAGACGAGGTGGTCACGGTGGGGATGGAGGAGGAGACGAGGTGGTCACAATGGTAGAAGGTTTGAAGGTGTGGTGATGATGGATATGGAAGAGAGAGTTTAGAGGGTGAAGTGGAGAGAAAGATGAAGGTAAGAATGGATATTGTGGTTGAAAATGATTGAAAATGAGAGGGAAAGTATTTATAGATTGAGATTGGAAACTGAGTTCGATCCAGTTGTGGGCTGAGTTTTTTCCAATTGTCATGACTCAGTTTGTTATAACTGAGTCATGTCATAACTAATTTAACTGCCTCTATTTTAAGTAAGATGGAGTTGATTTGTAACTGAGTTGGTGAGTGGTTCTGAGTTTAAGTGAGTTAGCTGAGAAAGTATTGAACTGCAATGTATTCTCCTTTTTCCTGCCAAAACCGAATGTTCACTTTCCTCTTTTTACCTTGCATTGTTAGTACTGTTAGAAGTTATGATGTAACTTGACCCTGATTCATACTTGTGACTGCTCTCTTTTGGACTATTGGTTTGTAAATGTATGAGATCACAGTGCACGGAATATATTGGCATCCAATGTATTTTTGAACTGGTTTTATGTAGTATATGATAGTTTAGGATTTAAAATGAATGTTGTTTATGCAGTGAACTATGCTGATGCGTTTTTTACTTTCTGCCGAGTTACTAATGTGTTTTTCACTTTTTGCAGAGTTACTCTTTTGGTCGTGGCTTGAATGCAAGGTGGGCATGGTAATCAAGGCATGAATTTTAAAGATGGTATCAAGTTACTCTTTTGCAATTTACTATGCCATTTTAATTCCACTGCAACTTACAAGTTACTAATATTACCTTTTTTAAAAAAATTTATAACTGCTGGTTTGCTTGATTTTCATGATGAGAAAGTAGGATGACATTTTATCTTTTCTATCCCTTATAGAATATGTTCTTACTTCTTTAGCATGTTGATGATAATGTACATTAAATAAAAGATAACCAAAAGTAATGCGAGGAGGTGAGAATATTAATGTTGATGTTCATCTTACCAATGGGTGAATAAAAGCTAAAAACAATTCATGGTTTATGAAGTTGTATCTAGTCCTAGCTAAATTCTTTAGCCCATATGCTACTAATACATTATAAAACTATGCATCCTGCCATGACAAATGTACTTCAGTGTATCATGTGGCACTACAAAAAGGAATTTGTGTTTGTAATAAACATATATGCTCCATATGTAAAGAACTACATAGTGTGAATAGAGAGGAATCAGTGATGTGTGAGATAGGCCCCCAAGATATCCTTTAGATTCGAGAACTAGCGCATGAGCAGGTGCAAGAGCCGAAGCATGAAAAAAATTCTTTTCACACTTTTATTTTATATCTATTTTTATTTTACTTATTTTATTATACTTTTGTATTCTCTTGTACTTTTGTACTCTTGGTATGAAAACTTGGTTCCTCTGTCTTCTTTCTTTTTTTTTCCTTGCATTCTCCATTACAGTGTTTGACATTTTCATTTTCTATTTAGATTGCTTGGTGCCACTGCTAGTGGAGTGATGAGAGGAGGAAAGATCATCTTTTCTCTCACCCATTCACTCATTCTCACATCAAAAAGTCACAAAAACAACTTTCATTTTTACAATAAAATAGTCTCATTTTTCTCTTCCATTACAAACATTAACTAGGAAACTTATTGGCTTTACACTAAGAAGCTTTCTCGTTTTGTTGGTTCTACTCAAGGTTTGAAGCTTTGGTGGTGTTTGGGATTTTTCAGTTAAAGTAAATTTTTGACAGATGTTGAAATCCTCAAATAAAGACATTTTTTTTAAGGTAATGATGGTCTTCGTTTGTTTTGTCTCTTGGTGAATATCATTTGAAATCCAATAGGATCATGGACCTACCTCTTAGAATCTCAATTTGATCTCAGGTTTATTGTTAGCAATATTTCTATTACCATTTTCTAAATTTTTTTCGGTTGTGTTATTTTCTTTGCAGCAACATTATTGATAGGAATCGGTGGAATTGATAATATATTTTGATGATAAAAGTGACAGGTAATCTTCCATCTATTGATTATTATTGTACTAATTTGCTAATATTTTATTTTTTATGGAAATCATATATATATATATATATATATATATATATATATATATATATATATATATATATATATATATTGAACTCATCATGACTATTCATTCTTTAGGGTATGTTCTCATGCCATAATGAAGTCTTTTAAGAGTTTAAGTTCTTATATGTAACAATTTAAAATATTTAAGCCCGATCCAAAAAAATCCGTTTAAAATACGGGCTATAATGTTAATTATCAATTGAAATTCTAATATAAGAGCAGAAGAAGCAAACAATTCTTTAATCATTGTTTGAGCATCGAAACGATATATTCTAAAATCTCCAATAAACATAAGTTCATAAGCACGAGTTAAAACATAAATCACAACTAAAGTAACATAATTCAAGTGCCTAAATAACATAATCCAAGTGCCTAATAGAATCTGAGGCCAGTTGGGGCAGCAGAGGCAGACATGCAGCACCTGGGGCAACAACAATATGAGCATCACAACCTAGCCTACACGTATAACACAATCTTTATTAGTATAAAGTAGAATAATCGTTAGTGATATAAAGCATTCCATCATTCAATTACCATCCAAATTTTGGTTCGTCAAAGATAAAAAGTGCATCTGGGAGGATAAGACTTCCTGAGGCGTCTGGATGGATAAGGCTTCATGCGATAGAGAAGAGTCGAAGAAGGGGCTTGAACCTGAAAAGCAGTAGAAACAATAACATATCATGTCAATTATAAAATAGGAATTCAAAGAAAAGTAATAAAAACCAAAAGTGCTATGCAACCTTACTTACTTCATCTCGAGGTGTAGGCAAATTACACCTAGGAGGGGATTCGGTTTCACGTTCATCAACATCTCCCTCCTGCATACAACGGTATTGAAAGCAAAAAAAATCAGAATCAAATTTCATTTGTGTTTCATGCCGGTTACGAACGTGAAAAAAGAAAAAATCATACTTGCAAATAATTCATTAGCGGTCCAAACATGGAAAAGTCCTTTTTGATAAGGTGCATATTCCTTTTCGCCCACCACGTATTGCAATGCCTATAAAACGAAGTGAAATGCCTCCAATTTTTATCTTTTCTCGGGCCTCTTTCCTTTAGTGTCATTTTTATTCTAAAATCATCGCATTTTTTCAAATCTCCCAGCTCCAACCCCAACTGTTTACAACAAGTATGCACAGGATGTTTTGCAATATTTTTAAAGCAGATGGTATATACTCATATACCATCCAACTTTGATATTTGAATTGATCGGCCAATTCAGCTTCTAGAACATTCTTACTATAAGGTAACAAATCCACCTTTGAAACATAAAATAAAGTATTAATAAACTAAAATACTGTTAGAATTTGAATTATCACTTTTGAGATGTAGGAAACTTACATCTTCATCCGCCATTTCACGAAGCTTATAAAAGCAAGTTTCCATGGTAGGCATTAAAGATCTATTCCTAAGAATCTCACTTGTTTCATTCGCCCATCCCAACATCAACGGAAATCGACTCGGTATAGCAAAATTAAATATCTCGCGAAGGCATTTGAATCGTTCAAATGCAAATACCTACAAGAAAAACAAAACAAAAAAATAAGCATTTTTGTGTTATATTAAAGGAAATATAGATGTATGCATATTGATAAATGTCTTACCATCAAGAGATATGCAAAACCGGTCAACATCGGTAAAAGTAGAAGTAGTAAAAAGAACATTTCCTAATAAAAATAAAATGTATGCTTTGATGTATGAATTTACATTCTCCTCAGTAACATCAATACTCTGAAATTTTTCTTTCAAACGTTTTAAACTTATATTATGAGACTTTTTTCCTCTCTTATTAGACAATAGCAAATCATTAGCTTCAACTGGATGTAGGGACAAATGATTTACTATTGTCTCAATAGGATCCCCTGGTTCAAATCCTGAAATCTGCACAACAAAATTGTCACAAGTATATAAATAACTTAAGAGTAATTTCTATTAAGTGAAATAAATGAAATAAAATAAAATATAAAATATACCTGTTTTCCATCAATGGTCCTGTGATGTACATTACATCTTCAAGATCAACTTTAGTATCCCCAAACACAAAGTGTTCTTCATTGTAATCATAAAAGCGAAGTAAAGCGACGATCATTTGCTTAGGGATTTTAATTTCAGTCGTCGGGAATCTCGTAAAATATTTGAAACAAGTTTTTTCCACTTCCTCTTTTACTCTAGAATGTAGAGTCCAACAAGTAAAGTTGTTTAACTGCATCGCAAAACTAGAGATTTCGACTGAAACCGTTTCGGGATCCATTTGGGTACTGTACAAATTCATTTGATCACATACTAAACTTATGAAGAAGACCAGAATAAATCAATCTCATATCAAATCCAAATGACCTTATTATCCTTAGTATAAGTACCTTAGGTACAACAGATTGTAACTAACTTTACATAATCAGAAAATCAGTTACATCTATAGTTCTCTCTCTACTTCTCTATGAAACTCCTTTAGGGTTTCTATTACTACAACCAACTTCAGCAACTATACAGAACACAATCGAAGTTCAAGATCATAAATCTGAAAATAAAAATATGTTAAGATCTTGCATTGCAGAAACTGAAATTACATGTTTATAGTGAGATTCAATTGGTTATAAATACCATGGTTCTCAAAATCGGACCGAACCGGCCGGTTCAATCGGACCTGATTCCGGTCAATTTCCTATTAATAACCGGCTGGCAATAAGACCGGACTTTGAACACTAAAAACCGGAGTAAAACCAGTAAGACCGGTCAAAATCGGCGGTTTTCCAAGTTAACCAATCATTTTTACTACTTGATTTTTTTAATTATTATTAAATTAAAAAAATCTGTTATTATTACATCTCAACCGCTAATAATGCGGGAGACAGTTGACAATTAAGAGCGTACACAAAGGCTTCTTATATACTAGTTGTCTATCAATCATCTAAGCATTTGCAGCACAATACACTACCAACTTGCATTAAAACATATGTGCTTTACTAAGGTAAGTGATATTATATTTATAGTTATGTAGTATGTTTTTTTTTAGTTTTTGACGAAACATATTTTAATTTATATGTTTTATAGACTCAAATCAATTTATTTAATATTCATCTCATGTATGATTAAAAAAATTATCTCAACTTTTTTATAATTTCATATAGTTAGTTTAATGATTAAAAATCACATATTCATAAAATTATAAATATTATGTTATATTTATTAAAATGTTAAATATATTTTTGATCTTTATAAATATATTAGATTTTGTTTTTAGTGTTCTCAAAAATAAAATCGGCTCTATTTAATATATATTTATAAAGATCAAAAATATATTTAACATTTTAATAAATATAACATAATATTTATAATTTTATGAATATGTGATTTTTAATCATTAAACTATATGAAATTATAAAAAAATTGAGATAATTTTTTTAATCATACATGAGATAAATATTAAATAAATTGATTTGAGTCTATAAATTAAAATATGTTTCGTCAAAAACTAAAAAAAAACATACTACATAACTATAAATATAATATCACTTACCTTAGTAAAGCACCTATGTTTCAATGCAAGTTGGTAGTGTATTGTGCTGTAAATGTAAACAAAGTTTCACATCGGTAGAAATGCTTAGATGATTGATAGACAACTAGTATATAAGAAGCCTTTGCGTACGCTCTTAATTGTCAACTTGAGATGTAATAATAACAGATTTTTTTAATTTAATAATAATTAAAAAAATCAAGTAGTAAAAATGATTGGTTAACTTGGAAAACCTCAGGTCCGGTTTAACCGGTTGAACCGGCCGGTTCGGTTCGGTTTTGAGAACCATGGTATTTATAACCAATTGAATCTCACTAGAAACGTGTAATTTCAGTTTCTGCAATGCAAAGATCTTAACATATTTTTATTTTCAGATTTATGATCTTGAACTTCGATTGTGTTCTGTATAGTTGCTGAAGTTGGTTGTAGTAATAGAAACTCTAAAGGAGTTTCATAGAGAAGTAGAGAGAGAACTATAGATGTAACTGATTTTCTGATTATGTAAAGTTAGTTACAATCTGTTGTACCTAAGGTACGTATACTAAGGATAATAAGGTCATTTGGATTTGATATGAGATTGATTTATTCTGGTCTTCTTCATAAGCTCAGTATGTGATCAAATGAATTTGTACAGGTACCCAAATGGATCCCGAAACGGTTTCAGTCGAAATCTCTAGTTTTGCGATGCAGTTAAACGACTTTACTGGTTGGACTCTACATTCTAGAGTAAAAGAGGAAGTGGAAAAAACTTGTTTCAAATATTTTACGAGATTCCCGACGATTGAAATTAAAATTCCTAAGCAAATGATCGTCGCTTTACTTCGCTTTTATGATTACAATGAAGAACACTTTGTGTTTGGGATACTAAAGTTGATCTTGGTCTTGAAGATGTAATGTACATCACAGGACTTCCCATTGATGGAAAACAGGTATATTTTTTATTTCATTTATTTCACTTAATAGGAATTACTCTTTCTTAAGTTATTTATATACTTGTGATAATTTTGTTGTGCAGATTTCAGGATTTGAACCAGGGGATCCTATTGAGACAATAGTAAATCATTTGTCCCTACATCCAGTTGAAGCTAATGATTTGCTATTGCCTAATAAGAGAGGAAAAAAGTCTCATAATATAAGTTTAAAACGTTTGAAAGAAAAATTTCAGAGTATTGATGTTACTGAGGAGAATGTAAATTCATACGTCAAAGCATACATTTTATTTTTATTAGGAAATGTTCTTTTTACTACTTCTACTTTTACCGATGTTTCGGTTATTTATTTACCTTTTCTTGAAGTACTTGATATAGACAATTATGCTTGGGGGCAGCCGTGCATGCTACCCTCAAGGCTTCAATGAATAAAGTAAGACAGGGAAATAAAACGTTGACCGGTTTTGCATATCTCTTGATGGTAAGACATTTATCAATATGCATACATCTATATTTCCTTTAATATAACACAAAAATGCTTATTTTTTGTTTTGTTTTTCTTGTAGGTATTTGCATTTGAACGATTCAAGTGCCTTCGCGAGATATTTAATTTTGCTATACCGAGTCAATTTCCGTTGATGTTGGGATGGGCGAATGAAACAAGTGAGATTCTTAGGAATAGATGTTTAATGCCTACCATGGAAACTTGCTTTGATAAGCTTCGTGAAATGGCGGATGAAGATGTAAGTTTCCTACATCTCAAAAGTGATAATTCAAATTCTAACAGTATTTTAGTTTATTAATACTTTATTTTATGTTTCAAAGGTGGATTTGTTACCTTATAGGAGGAATGTTCTAGAAGCTGAATTGACCGATCAATTCAAATATCAAAGTTGGATGGCATATGCGAAAGTATATATACCATCTGCTTTAAAAATATTGCAAAACATCTTGTGCATACTTGTTGTAAACAGTTGGGGTTGGAGCTGGGAGATTTGAAAAAATGCGATGATTTTAGAATAAAAATGACACTAAAGGAAAGAGGCCCGGGAAAAGATAAAAATTGGAGGGATTTCACTTCGTTTTATAGGCATTGCAATACGCGGTGGACGAAAAGGAATATGCACCTTATCAAAAAGGATTTTTCCATGTTTGGACCGCTAATGAATTATTTACAGGTCTGATTTTTTCTTTTTTTCACGTTCGTAACCGGCATGAAACACAAATGAAATTTGATTCTGATTTTTTTTGCTTTCAATACCGTTGTATGCAGGAGGGAGATGTTGATGAACGTGAAACCGAATCCCCTCCTAGGTGTAATTTGCCTACACCTCGAGATGAAGTAAGTAAGGTTGCATAGCACTTTTGGTTTTTATTACTTTTCTTTGAATTCCTATTTTATAATTGACATGATATGTTATTGTTTCTACTGCTTTTCAGGTTCAGGCCCCTTCTTCGACTCTTCTCTATCGCATGAAGCCTTATCCATCCAGACGCCTCAGGAAGTCTTATATGTCTCCACAGTCTACGGTATTTCATTCCTTTTTTTTTTAGGTTTAATAGCACTTTTTATCTTTGACGAACCAAAATTTGGATGGTAATTGAATGATGGAATGCTTTATATCAGTAACGATTATTCTACTTTATACTAATACAGATTGTGTTGTACGTGTAGGCTAGGTTGTGATGCTCATATTGTTGTTGTCCCAGGTGCTGCATGTCTGCCTCTGCTGCCCCAACTGGCCTCAGATTCTATTAGGCACTTGGATTATGTTATTTAGAGCTTGTGTTAGTGTTACTTTAGTTGTGATTTATGTTTTAACTCGTGCTTATGAACTTATGTTTATTGGAGATTTTAGAATATATCGTTTCGATGCTCAAACAATGATTAAAGTCTTATCCTCCCAGATGTCTCCACAGTCTACGGTATTTCATTCCTTTTTTTTAGGTTTAATAGCACTTTTTATCTTTGACGAACTAAAATTTGGATGGTAATTGAATGATGGAATGCTTTATATCAGTAACGATTATTCTACTTTATACTAATACAGATTGTGTTGTACGTGTAGGCTAGGTTGTGATGCTCATATTGTTGTTGCCCCAGGTGCTGCATGTCTGCCTCTGCTGCCCCAACTGGCCTCAAATTCTATTAGGCACTTGGATTATGTTATTTAGAGCTTGTGTTAGTGTTACTTTAGTTGTGATTTATGTTTTAACTCGTGCTTATGAACTTATGTTTATTGGAGATTTTAGAATATATCGTTTCGATGCTCAAACAATGATTAAAGAATTGTTTGCTTCTTCTGCTCTTATATTAGAATTTCAATTGATAATTAACATTATAGCCCGTATTTTAAATGAGTTTTTTCGGATCGGGCAAAAAACCTTAAAAAAAATCTGGGCTTAAATATTTTAAATTGTTATAAAACAATTCATGTTTTCATATAAGAGAACTTAAACTCTTAAAAGACTTCATTATGGCATGAGAACATACCCTAAAGAATGAATAGTCATGATGAGTTCAATGCAAACATATATATATATATATATATATATATATATATATATATATATATATATATATATATATATATATATATATATATATATATATATATATATATATATATATATATATATATATATATATATATATGTGTATATATATACCCTAAAGTAAGTAAGAGCACGTGAATACCTTATCAATGCTTCTGGGCCAGCCCGGCCCAGTCCAGAACATATATATATATATATATATATATATATATATATATATATATATATATATATATATATATATATATATATATATATATATATATATATATATATATATATATATATATATATATATATATATATATATATATATATATATATGTTCTGGACTGGGCCGGGCTGGCCCAGAAGCATTGATAAGGTATTCACGTGCTCTTACTTACTTTAGCATCGGAGTGTCTTGCAGGTACCCCCTCCACCTTGTTCAAAACTTCAGTTCGGAGCCAGCCGTGACGGTCCAAGTCTGATCAGATCAGATTAGTGGTGCCGTCTGTGGGAAACTAGCTTTCCCGTCTTGCAAACTCAAAGACCAAAGCTCAAATTCAACTACCTGTCATGGCTGATCAAGCTCGCGATGAGCAGAACGTCCGCGTCGTCGACACCAATAACGGCACCGCGGACAAGAACGGACACCTTGATAACGCCGACACCCCCGACCACAATGCCATTCCTGCGACAACCGCCCCCGGAACTTCCTCCTACAGGGACGGAGCTACTGCATCGTCCTCCTCGTTCCCTCCACCACTTGAAGACGACCCGGCGACCCTCGCTCACTACAGAGCTGCCCGGTTCCAGGAAGTCCCCGTCCCCGCCGGGGCGGATGCCACGACTCAAGGGCTGTTCGCAACAATTAATCAAACGAACTATCTCATCTTCGCCCAAGAGGAGAGACTGAAGACGAGCGAAGACCCCCGAGGAGGCATCGGAGACCCCATACTCCCCCTCCTCGAGTAACTGAAGCTCGACATCCATCTCCCCCGCGGAGACATTATAGGGAGACCTCTCGAAGCCAATCTCCCCAGCCAAAACAGAAACGGCCTCATCTGGAGAGGCAGCCCATCTTTCAAGCCGGGGAACCTTTCCGTGACCCGGCGAGACAAGAAAGAAGACACCCCGGAGACGGACGTGTAAAATTCAACCACCGAGCATCCCGCTCGAGAGAGACACAACACGACCTGGACCGTCGTGCCAGGCAGTATTACAGGTCCCCATCTTTATCTCCGGAGAGAAGCGACGAGGACGACCCCCGCGGTCCCCTGTCACAGGCTATTATGGAGGCACCCATCCCCCCAGCATGGAGAAGCCCCCTCACTTAAAGGAGTATGATGGAGTCGCGGACCCGGTCGACCATATAGACGGGTTCGAGGCTATGCTCCATTATCACAACGTCGGGGCCCCCATCAAGTGTCGTCTATTCCCCACGACTCTCCGGAAGGCGGCAATGGACTGGTACAAAGGACTCGCCCCGGGCTCAATCACCTTGTGGCAGAACCTGAAGAACCAGTTCATCAATTCCTTCACAGCTTCTCGGCGGCACCCGAAGACCGAGGCGGCTCTCGAGGCCATCATCCAAAGACAGGATGAAACCTTGAGGGAATTCATCAACCGCTTCAACCGGGAAGCAATATAGGTCCCCTGTGCGGACCATATGAAGAGATATTTGCTGGAGAGAGGCCTCCTCCCCGGCACGGAATTCAGGAAGGCTGTGGGTATCCAGCCACCTCGGACATTCGATGCCCTCCTCGAAAAGGCCCGAGCATACATGGACTACGAGGAGAGGGAAGCGGCCAACAGAGCCCGAGATTCCAGGACTCGTGGTCCCAACAGCAGCTCGCGCCAAGAAGCTCCTCCTCGATGAACCGGGGAGAAAAGGAAGGAAGACAGACCCCGGGAAGTCCGGGAACAAAGAGGACCCTCAGGGCATTTCACCGAGTACACTCCGCTCACAGCTTCCCGCGAGCGTATTCTGGCGGAGTGTGCCAGCACTGATTTCAAGGACGGCGGTGTCAAACGTCCCCGACCTGCTCCCGCCAAGCCCGGAGCAGACACAAATAAATATTGTCAGTACCATAGGAGCCATGGTCACCTGACTGAGGATTGCGTCCACCTCAAGGACGCCATTGAAACCCTCATCAAGGGAGGGAGGCTCGCAGAGTACCGGCGAAGCGACGCTCCCCGTCGTGACGCCCAAGAAACCAGGGAGCCAGAAGAAGACGCCCGACCATCTGACGAGTCGGTGCCCATCCAAACTACCTTCTCCGTGACCAGGCCCGAGGACTTCGACTTCCCCGAGCACCTGCAGGAGCCACTTACAACGCACAGCAGGAGGGAATACTTCCCCTCCGCCCTGGTCATCAACGGCGGCGGGTTCAACGACTTGACCATCAATTCAGCCAAGAGGAAGCTGGACGAGCTGGTCGACGCAGCTCCCCCGCAAACAGTGACGTTCGAAAGGGTGAAGGGCAGGTCAGAGCCCATCACCTTCTACCTGGAAGAACTCCCCGACGGAGCCCCGAACGCGGTCATCCCCTTACTGATAAGGGCAAGAATGGCCAATTTTGATGTACATCGCATCCTGGTCGACGAAGGGAGTTCCGTCGACGTCATGTACAGCCAACTGTTCCGAACCCTTCAGCTGGACGACTCACATCTCTCGCCGTATGTAGGGTCGGACTTACAAGGTTTCAACGGCTCGACCTCCAAACCTTGGGGATATGTCGAGCTTCTGGTTACGTTCGGCGAAGGGACGACTACAAGACAGGTCAAAGTACGCTTCCTCGTCATCGACTGCCCGTCTCTGTACAGCTGCATCTTGGGGAGACCGACACTGGCAGAACTGACAGCGGTGCCCTCGACCGTCCACCTGAAGATGAAGTTCTACACCAAGAGGGCACGGGTAGCTACTATCCAAGGAGACCTAGCCGCTGCCCGCAGGTGCTTCAACACCGCTTCTAAGGGACGTGATACTGTCGACATAGGGACCAGACCCGCCAAAAGGACAAGACAGGAGCCCGACAAGAAAGTATCCCCCGAGGAAGAAGTCCAGAAAGCTCCACCAAAGGTCGATTCCATAGCTCTGGACACCCGCTTCGACCAGGACGAGCCATCCAGCGGCGAGCAAATCCCCCTCCGACCAATACCGGACGGAGATTTTGAACTCGTCCCCCTCGGCACCGACCGGAGCAAGGGAGTAAAGATTGGCAAAGATCTCCCCGACTTGGCAAGGAAACAAATCAAGGCCTGCTTGCGCGAGAATGCTGATCTGTTCGCCTGGAGCGCCGCGGAGATGCCCGGACTCGATCCTGAGGTCGCCTGTCACCACCTCGCTAGGACCGTAGTACAACGTAGGCGTAGGCAGTCTCCAGAAAAAACGGAGGCTGCTGAGAAAGCTGTAAAAGACCTCCTAGAGGCAAATTTTATTTCTGAAGCCCGGTATTCCACCTGGCTGTCAAATGTTGTACTCGTTAAAAAGAATAATGGAAAATGGAGGATGTGCGTTGATTATACCGATCTCAACCGGGCTTGCCCGAAAGATACTTTTCCTTTGCCTAACATAGACATGCTGGTCGACAACTCGGTCGGCTACAAAATGTTGTCGTTCATGGACGCCTACTCGGGCTATAACCAAATCCCAATGGTCCTGGGCGACAAACACTGCACGACATTCATGACCAGCTCGGGCAACTATTACTACAACGTAATGCCCTTCGGACTGAAAAATGTCGGGGCAACTTACCAGCGCATGATGAACAAAGTTTTCAACAAATAGATCGACGACATGCTCGAGGTGTATATGGACGACATGATCGTCAAGTCCCGAGCAGACACCGACCACGCATCACACCTCAAAACGGTCTTTGCCCAAGCAAGACAATGTAAAATGAGGTTCAACCCCGAGAAATGTACGTTCGGGGTTAAGGCAGGAAAATTCCTTGGATTCTATCTAACAGAACGGGGAATCGAAGCCAACCCCGATAAATGTCGGGCGTTCTCCGACCTCCCAACACCAACGTCGAAGAAGTCGATACAAATCATGAACGACATGCTCACGTCGCTATCCCGCTTCGTCGCGAGATCCGCTCAGCACGCCCTCCCCTTCTTCAAACTCCTTCGAAAGGAGGCAACCTTCGAATGGAATGAGGAGTGCGAGCAGGCACTACGCCACCTAAAGCGAAGTCTATCTCAACCGCCCGTGCTGTCTCGACCAGCCGACGGGGAGCCACTGTACTTGTACTTGGCCGTTTCGAACGAAGCCATCAGCGCGGCCCTCGTCCGCGAGACCACCGACGGACAGAAGCCCGTCTACTTCACGAGCAAAGCCCTGCAAGGACCCGAAAGCAGATACCAACAGATAGAAAAGATGGCCCTGGCCCTCGTCAACGCGGCGAGGAGGCTCAGACATTATTTTCTGGCCCACACGATCATCGTGCGAACCGACCAACCAGTGAGGCAACTCCTGGGTCGACCTGATATGGCGGGCAGAATGCTGAAATGGTCCTTGGAACTCTCCGAATTCGACATTTAGTACGAGAGTAGGAAAGCCTTGAAAGCGCAGGTCCTGGCCGACTTCGTCGCGGAAATGACCACTCATGACCTACCCCCAGAGAAGGAACACA